CAGTACAACTCACTGTTCCAGTGGAGCACCGCCAAGAGGACGAAAATCCAAGCTGGCACTGGAAGTTAACCCCACGTGCCTATCCATTCCCTGCCGCAGGCCTCCAAAAATTGTCAGGTCTCCTGGGGACAGGCGTCGCACTCCTGACCAAACAGCCAAGTACATGCGGGGGACTGACACCATCCGCATTTTCCCCCTCGCCAGCTCCGCATCATCCCCCGCACTATGCTGCTTATCACTCCTTGCTGGTAGCGCAACCATGAGAGTAACGATCTTCTGCCAGAGAAGGCCGAAGCGTAAGAGAGTATCGGAAACTCTTTGGTAGCAGGATCGATGCTACTCGGAAGCGGACGTAGATACATGAACAGCGTTTCCGTGAAGTCGGCCACCTCAGTAAATCCACAGAGTTCAACTTGATCACGGTGTCCTTCAAAGGCAATACTATCTCGGGAACCACAACCCTGAGCCCGTTGAAGTCTCTGATCTCCAGGCTCACAAGAAGACCGATGCGACCCACTGGTACATACCCCGCACCGCTGCCGGATTGGTTTCTCTGCTGCTGGATTTGGCGTTTTGTACAGGATGGCTAGCCGCTGTTGCGGCGGCGCTGGATGGCCAATGATTCAAGGGAGGTATTCGCGCCCGTGACCTAGCTCCGTTGGGGAGTGACACGGTGTTGGGGAGGAGTTGGGCATGCCCTATACCGACGGATGGTACCGTGTTCGATCTGTGGCGTAGGTGTTGGTTGTGTCTTCACTGGTTGTACAGTAATGCTTGAGGGGAGCTGCAGCATGGGACACGAGTCACGGCCATAGCCCTAGACGCCATGACCGGACTCATTTTGCTCCCCCAAAGTATGCGGCTTGAAGTCCCGAAGAGCGGGCCCGGTCAATGCTGAACACGCTCTGAAAGTGCTTATTCAGCGAGTCCGGGAGACTGAGACTGCAAGAAAACCACCACAGGAAGAGGAGGATTGTAACAGGACAAATGGGATATAGAGTGGGGGCGCATTTAATTGGCAGCCCCTATAGTTATTCTTATCCTTATGCTTAAGAACGCATGCCCGTATCGAATGGACGTATAAATAACTACTAACACTGCGATGTCTAGCCCTTCGGCACATTACTACACGATTCTGTCGTCCGTTCGCGCGTGTGACATCGTTATAGCCACTAATAACAAGTGTTGGTAGCTCATACACTGAGGAGAGGACGCCGGCAAGAGTATTGTCCATACTGGAAAGTATGGACATAATATGGAAAGCCCTTTGTAATGGTGCCCCTACGATTTACGCCATGTGGAGCGGCGCTGAACAAAATGCCGACAGCCACAGAAACTTCCCCATGGGGCGACGCCATCGGCCCACTTCCCCATGGGCAACGCCGTCGCCCACTTCAGGGAAGCAACATCCGTCGGATCGGCATGTACAGGTCTCATACAATTAACCGACGCCAGTGCCACTCAATCAGGAAAAGAAGCGGCGTTGTCATTAGGTGACACCAGTATAAAATCTCCACAGGAGGTGATACTTCGAAACCTCATCGCCAACACCACAAACGGGACGAAGCCTCTTACCTACACTATGCGCGTCCAATTTGTCGCAGCCGCAGGCCTGCTTCCATTGACCGCGCTGGCGGAACCCTGCCAGCGTATGTAACCATTCCATAGCAATGAATTAGTACTGACCGTCGCAGCATACAAGCTAAGCATCACCGCCGCTAGGTCCTCCACAAGATGGACCGATTGCAAACCCAGGGAATGTACCGGAAGGATGCAGATGTTCGACGTCACCGTCAACAACACCGGCACAACCTGGGTTGTGTCTCAACCATACGTTGCTGTCACCCTTAAGGGCGATGGCCTCACAACGTACCGACAAGGCAAGATTACGCGCCTTCGCCCCGGCGACTCCGCCATCTTGGAACTCGGTGTTCAGACAGATACTGTCCATGTGAACCGAGCGGTCAATGCCACCGCTCACTGGGATGATGGAGGCTCCTGCCAAGGCTCGACTAGCTTTAGCTTTACGGCTGCATACGGCATCCCGAACTACCAAGCCAATGTCGCCTCGGTGAGCAACCACGAAGCTCCGAACTGGTATCGCGACGCCAAGTTCGGTATCTTCATCCACTGGGGTCTATATTCCGTACCAGCATACCATTCTGAGTGGTAAGTTACGTGACTTGACATTCTTCTTTCCAACTGACAATATAGGTACTGGTGGGACCAAATGGCCAAGGGCGATAAGAACGATGTTTATGACCACCATTTGAAGACATACGGTGATAAAGTCGTCTACGATGACTTCATCGCCAATTTTACAGCCGCCAACTTTGACCCTAAGGCCTGGATGGACCTGATCAGCGATGCGGGCGCTCAGTACTTTGTACCTACCACGAAGCATCACGACGGATTCGCCCTATTCAACATGTCCTCGAGCATTTCGAACAGAAATTCAGTCAAGCTAGGCCCCATGAGGGATCTCCTTGGCGTACGTCTCCCACCTCCTTGCCATTATCGTTACTAACTCTCCTTTAGGAGCTTTTCGCCGCCGCCAAGCAATATCATCCGGAGATCCACCGAGGCACGTACTTCAGCGTCCCCGAGTTTTACACCCCAGCGTCCCCCCAAAACAGTGGACTCGGCTGGCACTTCTACCTGGGTGCCCCGAAGAACGCATACACTGGCAAAGAGGTCCCGTACACCGGCTTCGTTCAGAATGAATTCATTTCCGGTATCCAACTACCCCAGATGAACATCTTGGCCAACGACTACGACACAGAACTCATGTGGTGCGATATGAAGGGGCCGTCGATGGCAGACCGGTTCGCGGCCGACTACTTCAATAAGGCCTTCAGAGCGAATAAGCCGGTCGTCATGAATGACCGCTGCGGACGCGTGAACGGCCAGTCGGTCCCGGGTGATTACGGCACACCCGAAAATGAAGCCAACGTCGCCTTCAATCCGAAGCTATGGGAAGTGTGCCGCACCATGGATCAGGGCCGTCCTGACGGTTCAGGTTCTTGGGGCTACAACGCGGATACGCCTGACTCCAAGTACATGAACTCAACCGCCATCGTGCACACGCTACTCGATGCCATTTCCAAGGGAGGCAACCTGTTGTTGAACATAGGTCCCAAGCCGGATGGTACGATCAAGGAGATCATGCAGACTAACCTGCGTGCTGCCGGCGCATGGATTAAGTCTCACTCTGAAAGCATTTTCGGCACTAAGTACTGGCCACTTGGCAAGGGTGGATCTGGCAACTTCCGGTATACCGAGACCGATCAGGCATTCTACATCCACTGCCTCACGAAACCGAGTGGATCCATCACCATAACCGACCCAATCCCTTGGATGCAGGGCGATAAAGTCACCGTTGTGGGTGGCTCCAAGAACGGCGCTACGGTCAGCGCTAGAGCATCTGGCAATAACATCGTTCTGGATGTACCTCAGGAGATTTCTGATGCGGACCAGTATGCTTGGACCTTCAAGATTACGTACTAAGCACGCCTCGTTGCATCTGTAGTGTGCTGCCTCTTGGACTAGTGCCGAGACAGGGCACGAGCGTATAGTTTCGTACCCGCCAATTTGTATATAATGGCATATACGTTCACATCTGGTCGCGATGCGTACCTCTTGCGGGCAGTCGATAAATCTTGATGGTAAACACCAATGTTTTCTCTGGGCGCTGTAGGCTTACACGAACCTATCCATCGGGACCAGAACATCATTGGCCATTGTTCTGTTCTTGGCGCAATGTAGCTAGAAAACGAACGTTTGACACGGACATCCTCGGCGCTGATGGAGCATCGTACAACCGCAGCTTTCATCACCGGCTAAGCACTCAAGCAGTGCGGACGTGACTTCGCCAGGATGATGGTGAGCAAGGTAAAAAGTTGTGTCGCGGCCGACTGATGAGGGGCCTAGCCAGTGGCCTCAGAATGTGCAGGTGGGTTGCCGCAGGGGTCTTGGACGAAGCGTCAAGCTCGGATGGTTGCCGACTTGCAACGACGCTAGCATGAAACGCTTTAGTTGGCCCTTTCCTATTTCGCCTAACGTACTCCACAAGCGAGTGACCCACCCAAGCGAGGTGGGAAAAGACAAGGCCAAGTAGGACGCAAAGCAACGTGATTCCGAGGTACGTCCATTGTACGTTGATCAGCGTTCTGCTGTTAGCGACAGCATCCTGATCAAGGCCACGGAAAAACAGCTTTTGAGCCAACAAGCCGCCAGCAATACTGCCAACCCCTTGGATGCCCTGGGCCAGGAGTAGTCGGGTCGCACCGTAGTGGGGTGGGCCGCACAGGACCATGAAGGAATTGGCGGCGACTTCCAATACGGCCAAACCAAAACCGACCACAAAGCTACTGAGCACGAACCCGCCGTAGGAATTTGTGATAACAGACGGCCAGAAAATGATCGTGCCAACGCCATAGATGCATAAACCGACGATGAACGTCACCTTAAAGCCGCCAACGCTGTTGGCACCGGTCGGACGGCGCCCAGAGCGGTGATGCTCGTCCCTTCGGAGGATCCAACCTCCTACGAGTAAAGGGCCAAGGAAGTAACCGCCTCCTAGGTATGCGCATGTCAGGCCAAGGGTCTGGGCGGTTGGCATGTGATTTAGAGCCGCAACTGCCGCATTTAGGTTGTTAAGAAGGCCGTATGTCCCGCCCCAAAGGAAGAAAAGGATCGAGACGACAACGCAGAATTTAAATGACTCCACGGCGCTGGTGTGAAGCATGTTCTTCGGCTTTGCCACATTGATGAAACCTTGGTACGCATTGTCATGTGTCGAAGGGAAAGTGGCCGACGCGGACGGTTGACTTTTGGACGATGGCGTGGAGGATTCGCTAAGCCGTGGAGGAACACGGGACGTCGGGACACTAACCGGACCTTCCAAAATATGCGGCAGAAGCTTGACGACGAGAGGCTTAATCATCGGGACACATGCGCAGGCGATCCCGACATTGACTTCTACCGCACTCCACATGATAGACAGAGAGGCGTTCCAAGCGAAACCGGACTGAGCTCCAAACTCTGGCCCCGGGCCGGGTAGTGACTCAGATCTGTCGCCGATAGCTTCCTGCAGGTAGTAGATGCGAACGACGTCGACTATTGTGACAAAAATGCCTAAGGCGAAAGTACTGACGAGAATCGTCTTCTGTCGAGTAGGCAGGTTCAAGCGGGTGACGATGGGAATCGGTAGAGCTAGAATCGCTAGATCGGTGAGGATGTTGACCGGCGCGGAACAAATGAATTCGGTAAGGAGAGGGATGCAGATAGCCCCCTCGTCCGCGTCCATGGTCCATGACGCTCTGATGGGGCTGCATTGGAAGATGTTCATTATGGTGAGAACGGCGCCGGCAACATTGACAATCACAAGTGTGGCCAATGATGCACAGCGTAGGACTACCTGAGTCGTCCTTGCCAAGCGCAGGTAGAGAACCAGGATGCTGGTTTTCGTCGCTGCAAGAGCCGGATTCTGTAGATGCAAATGTCAACAAGAATTGCGTAATATCTGGGCTCCGGCTAGGCCAGAGACCGGCGCGCACAGGGTGACAGTGAGCATACATATAAGATAGAGAAGACATATTCACAGCGACGTAGGGTGATCCACTCATCGTGCGAAATGTACTTGTCATGTTTGCCCAGGCCATTGGCAACGCCGAGATTAATCGTAAAGGACAGAAAGAAGGCGATGAGCCAAGCCACAACCATCATCTTGTCGTCCCAGGTAACTTTGCGAATAACAAAGTGCCGGGATATAATACGCACCCCAACGAGGATGGATGCAAGAGCCAGCGTTGCAGTGGTGACGGCGAGCACGGCAGGCCCGCGATCTGGGATAGTCTTGTCCATGCCGGTGTTGAAACCGGTAGACTAAGGAATCACTGAAGCATTTGCTTGACGGCGAGCTGGGAGACGGCTCGTCAGGGCTAGAGAGCGGAACGCATCTTTCTGGAGAACGCGGGTAGGCCGACGTAAAGTAGTCGGGAATGACGATGCAGCATGCGTCTCTGGGACCCTTGTCACCTTAGTTGCACACCAAGGGCCGTCGCACCCGAGCAAGCAGGGTGAAGCCGGACAGGTCGCACCAGAGGTGGCTCTCAGTTCCGCATGGCGGAGATGCCCGGCCGGGGGAGGTTCCGTCGAAGTCTGTAAGGCGCACAAATACGGCGAAACAGACAGTGAAGAACGGGTGCGAATCATGCAATTGTTGATCTCTGGCCCTCTTCCTTCTCAGAAGAAAGAGGGACCCCTTTTCTATCCAGCAGTCCCAAGTGTTCCGGGTAAGCTTTTATCCAACGCGACTCATTTGGTACATCAGCCTCTCGGCCTTTCCCCAAGTCTTCCGCATACTCGGATAAGCCTCTATCCAACACGACTCAGGTTCATGGGCGCGTGACA